AGAAAGAATCCTTGGTCCTGCTGGCAAGGAAAGACATAAGTATTAAAGTCTCCAAACGTAATCCTTGTGGCTGTCTCCTATTGGCCTCGGTGCATCATCCTTTTGGGCTGATCCTTTTGGCCCAGCATCCCTTGCACCCAGTTGGCTCTGCCAAGCAAGCAGTCAACACATGTTCTGGGGACTGTCCTGGAGATGGTATATATATATATATATATATATATATACACACACACACACACACACACACACACATATATTATATATACCCCTGCTTTATATATGACTGTCCTGGAGATGGACATAATATATATATATAATGTCCTGGAGATGGACATTATATATATTGTATTATATACCCCTGCTTTATATATAATATATACCCCTGCTTTGAATGTGTTTCCAGCCCAGTCTGTTTGTAGACTCCTAGCAGGAAAAAGATTGAACATTTGCCTTTCCAAGGGAAAGCAAGCTCAAGCGAATATACATATGTTATATATTGAATACACATATGTCCTAGGATCTGAGGGGAAAGAGCAGCCAGAGTCATGTCTGTGAAATCAAAGGCCTTTCTACATGAGTGAGGGCTATAGATAAGCCTAGAAGCAGTTGGGAAGGCAATTTATGATGGAGAAATGGTTTATAGAGAGCTATACATGCTGACACAGCAGCTTCTAAGTAGAGGAAGCCAAGCTGATTGATTCCGTTCGAGCCAAGTGTTTATGTAAAAAGTGATGATAAAAGCATTCACGAGATGGAGCAGCAGTTAGCTAGGGGTGTTTATACAGGTTCCTTTCTGTCTCTGGATCCTGGCTGCCTGGACTGTGAAATGAGGGTACTGAGCTAGGTAGCTTCCGAGAGGTGTATGGGATGGACAAATAAGGGAGCAGTGTGCCAGGTATCTCAGAGCGCTCCTATGACAGTCTTATCCGCGCTCTGCACAGGTGAAGTTTTCCTCCCAGAGTGTCTTAGACAACAAATCACCAAGCTGAGCTTGGACTCAAGTCGACTGATTCATTCCATCTTGATGGAGGGCGCTGATGTGCTAGGTCTTGTGTCAGGTGTGTCAGGCCCTGGCGACATGGAAGCCAGGCTCTGTACTCATTCTTGTGGGGAAAATACAGTCAGGTGTAAAGATCCAAGTGGACAAAATAGCCTCAGGGAGAGGACAAAGCAAAATAAGAAGGCATCATTTGGAGCTTCTTAGATTGGGTGGTCCTGGAAGGCATCACGGAGTAGGTGACCTTTGAGCTGACACATGAAGGGGACCCTAGTTGATGGAAGGCACAGAAGGCCAAGTTGACAGGGTAGGCTAGGTCTTCGTCATACCATGGGGAGGAGTCACTTTTTATTTCCCACAGATCTTAAGATCATAGAGGATGAGGAACTCTAAGGTTGGTGATTGCAGAATCTGTAGGAAAGGAGGGCTACTGAAGTAACGGGTAAGGCCCCAGGCAGAGCTTGTGAGAGGGTGTTCCTATTCGTTCTGTCCCTTTATTGGGAACACCAGGAAACTTGAGAAGACGGTGATAGTGATCATCTTAGAGGGCAAGTAAAGCTTCATTTTATAAAAAGTAATAGCTGTTAATAATAGTCCCAGTAATAATAAGCACAATTCCCATGAGTCATGTGTGACTTCTGGGACCCCATGTGTTTCAGAGTAGAACTATGCTTCATGGGGTTTGTGACCTTTCACACACCAACCCCCCATATGCATTCTCTCCCTTTCAGTTAGAGAGGAAAAACAGCTATCCCTTATTTATTTGCGTAATCAGGTTCAGCCCTGTGCATCTCAATCAAGGAAGGATCCCAGTGGGATTATGAGTATTTGAGTCATCTTGTTCCAAGGCCCTGAGAAGTTCTTCTAAGAGTGAATCTTTATGGCATAAAGAGCATGGGCAAAAAGTACTCTTTTCTCATGGACCAGCTCGAACTTTCTGGTACTTTCTGCCATTAATGGCAAAGTTAGTGTACATATCTGACCTTGTCAGACTTCCTTATCACCATGAGGCAGGGAATCAGACAAGTCTCCATGAGCCATTCTTCTTTACCTGTTCTGACACCAACCATTCCTCCCACCCCACGCTCCATCTGTGGAGGGTTTGTTGTAATGGCCACACAAAGCTCACAGACAGTACCTAAACTAAGGTTTATTAAGGAAATTAATAGGTTACCACAAGTCAGGAGCAGTGAACGGTAAGGATGTCATCATTGGTCTCCTCAGGCAGCATCCAAGTCTCTCATGGGTTCTCAGCCTGTGTCTCTTGGCCTTTGCCTCCATGGATCTGGAAGACAGCCCGTCTGTCACTCTGCCCTACAGTTCCGTGGTCTTGGGCCATATGAGCAGAGGGTGCCGCACAATCTTGATGCTGCTCCTGCCAGTTTCTGCGCTAGAGTCTCTGACGCATCTGATCTTGGTGGCCTCTGCCACTTCAGACGGAGATCTTGGACATGTGCTTCCAAAACAGTCCTGGGGTTTCTCTGCTTCTGCTTCAAAGATGGCTCATCTTTAGAGCTGGGGGGAGTGGGGTTAGGGTGGGACCAATCTCCTCTACTAGTGTTACATGCACCATTTGCATAGTCTCACCCAATCATTTGGCGGGAGTCACAGAGACTTGCGTAGAAGAGCTCTAATAAGAAATTCCACTACCACATTTCAATGACAGAGGTGTTATTTGAGCAGCACTTTCTCAAGACAATTAAAAAAGATCCTTCCACACCACACCCCTAATGCTTAAAATCATCACACACTTCTCTCTCCAGGTTTCTCCTCTTGTAAACTTTGATTCTAGGAAGACTGTCTAGGTTTTATGAGAGATTGGGAAAATGTTCCTTGCTTGCTGGGGAGAAGAAAGAAGTCTACGGAGAGATAAGAGTATCTCAAGGACCCGAGCTTGAAATGCCAACCTCCACTCACCCAGGGTCTCCCCCAAACTAGAGGAGAACTTATGGCTTGATGGCATCTCCTACCTGGCCCACATTCAGCTTCTTCCTCTGATGTCCTCGCCAATAGTTGGCCTGAAGAACAGATGAGATAAACCCAAGCAGGAAGCACAGCTACTTCTGGTGTCCACTCGCTCTTCCGCCCCTCCCTTTCAGCCTCTGCCGTGCAGTCCTTCAGACGCAGACCCTTCTCTCCATGCCCTTTGCAAGCACTCACCTGTGTGCGCGCCTGCAACCCCACCTAGCAGTGTTCGTAGCTCACTGGTTAAGTACTTGAATGCTAATGAGAAGGTTGGTGTTTCAAACCAAGCAGACATTCAGTGGGAGAAATGAGGCAGTCTGCTGCTGTAAAGATTTACAACCTTGGAGACTCTATGGGGGCAGTTCTACTCTGTCCTATAAGGTCACTATGGGTCCACATCCACTTAATAACACCATTTAAAAAAAAAGTCTAACTCCAAATCAAACCCATTATAATTGAGTTGATTTGGACTCATGGTGACAGCCTGTGTTTCAAAGTAGAAGTGCTTCATAGGATTTTCTCAGCGGTCATCTTTATGGAAGCAGATTGCCAGACTTCTTTAGTGGTGCTTGCTCCTAGATGGTTTTGGATCGCCAACCTTGAATTACAAACTCAATATACCCCAAAGCCCCAAACCCATTGCATCAAGCCAATTCAGACTCTCCGTGAGCCTGTCGGATAGAGTGGAAGCACTCAGGAAGGTGTTCAAGTCTATAAATCTTTAGGGGCACTGAGCCTCAACTTTCTTCTGCAAAGCAGCTGGTTGTTTTGAATTGCTAACCTAGTGGATAGCAGCCCAGTGCTTCGCCCACTGTGCCCCCAGGGCTGCCCTTTAGGTCAGTTGTTGTTGGTAGGTGTCATCGAGTCAGTTTTGACCCACAGCGAACTTATGCACAACAGAACGAAATACTGCCGGTCCTGCACCATCCTCTCAATTATTCTTATGCTTGAGCCCATTAAGGGCCCGTCTCTTTGTCCATGTCCCCAACACGATGCGCTTCTCCAGGTCCATAACTGGTGCAGCTTGCCCCAACAAAAGACCTCTGTAAATATTCTCACCAAGACTTATTTTAAGCTACTTTTGTGCTGTCCTGGAGGGAGAAGTTGGGAAGAGATGTTGAATAGCACCTAATAGGGTGATCTTCCCATTCTGGGAGTTGCCGTCCCAATGGCTTGGCACTTCTGGCAGTGCAAAAAAAAGTGTTGCTAATTGCCATTCTAACTCATGGTGACTTTATGTGTGCAGGATAGACCTAGTTCAAAGGATTTTTAAGGGGGTAACCTTCAGAACCAGATAACCAGGCTTGTCTTCTGAGGCACCCCTGGGTGGGTTCAAACTTCCAGCATTTCTCCTAGTAGTGCTTAACTGTGCCCTCCAAGGACTCCTGCTCAAGAGCATAAATAATTGTAGTATCTGATTGTAAGCTTATGATATTTAACAGTTGTGTTAAAAATTCCTACAGACAATAAGCAAGGGCAGTCCTAGGGTTGAGAACGGTTCTCCATGTTCCCAGGAAATTGCCCTTTCGGCAACAGAATATTGCCAGGGAGAATTCTTAATTCTGGGACTTTTAGGGGACGCTTTGATTAAGAAACAGCTGGGATGTTGCAACGGGAGGGATGCAGATGGAACCAAACAGAACTGCCTTCAGCTACAGGAAGCAGACAGATGTCAGATAGGGCCAAAGTGACCCATGTGTAAGGGAAAAACGTATGCAAGACAACAGACCCTGCCCTATTCCGCTAGCCCACGCCTCCAGCTTGAGCTCCCCGCCACTCCCTCCCCGCCAAGTGGCTCTTCGGTCCCAGAGGCGGGACAGAGTTCTGCGGTGGAGCTGGAGCCTCTGGGGCGTGAGCTCTGGGAGGTTGGGAGGAGGGGGGGAGGGGCGCTGGCTGGGCTGGCCAAAGAGGAGGGGTCCTTTAAGAGGCTTGCCCAGCGTCTGGCTTGCCGCGCTGCGAGTGGCCGCGGCTCAGAGCGGCGGGCCCACACTCCAGCTGGTTCTCGGCTACCAATCTTCGCCTGCAGTTGCACTTGAGCTCCCAGGGAGCGCTCTGCCCCAAAGGCTCAGGTAGGAAGCGCGGGCTGCCTGGTGCATGCCCGGGACTCCGGGAGGTGCATCTCTCCCTCCGCTCGCCTTCCTCGGAGCTGCGGGCCGCCCCGGAGGGCTGGCGGTTCCGGTGGCTGGCTGCAGGGAGCCGGGTCGAGCCCTCCCTCGGTCCACAGCTGTACGCGGCTCCGGCGCCATGCTTCTGCTGGGCATCTTCACCTTGGCCCTCGCCGGGCGACCAGCCAGCGGCTCCGAGCCAGAGCTAGAGGTGGTCATTCCAATCCGACTGGACCCGGACATCAACGGCCGCCACTACTACTGGTGGGGTCCCGAGGACGCCGGGGATCAGGGCCTCATCTTTCAGATCACAGCATTTCAGGAGGACTTTTATCTCCACCTGACCCCAGATGCCCAGTTCCTGGCGCCTGCCTTCACCACCGAGCACCTGGGCGCCCAGCTCCGGGGCCTGGCGGGGAGCTCCCCAGAGCTGCGGCGGTGCTTCTACTCGGGGAATGTGAACGCGGAGCCGGGCTCTTTCGCCGCCGTGAGTCTGTGCGGGGGACTGCGCGGAGCCTTTGGCTACCGGGGAGCGGAGTATTTCATTAGTCCGCTGCCCAACGCCAGCGCACCCGCGGCTCAGCGCACCGGCCAGGGCACGCACCTCCTCCAGCGCCGGAACTTCCCTGGCAGGCGGCCTGGAGACACGACCTCCCGCTGCGGGGTGGCCTCGGGTTGGAACCCGGCCATCCTGCGGGCTCTGGACCCTTACAAGCTGCGGCGGGCCGGTTTAGGGGAGAGGCGCGGCCGGCGCAGGTCAGCGCGCGCAAAGCGCTTCGTGTCGATCCCGCGCTATGTGGAGACACTGGTGGTGGCAGACGAGTCCATGGTCAAGTTCCACGGCGCGGACTTGGAACATTACCTGCTGACGCTGCTGGCCACGGCGGCTCGGCTCTACCGCCACCCTAGCATCCTCAACCCCATCAACATCGTCGTGGTCAAGGTGCTGCTTCTCGGAGACCGCGACTCCGGGCCCAAGGTCACGGGCAACGCGGCCATGACGTTGCGCAACTTCTGCGCCTGGCAGAAGAAGCTGAATAAAGTGAGTGACAAGCACCCCGAATTCTGGGACACCGCCATCCTCTTCACAAGGCAGGTGAGCTGATCCGCCGCCTCTCGGCACTAAGGTAGCACCATTATCTTAGGGCAACCGCGCTAAACAGCTCTGCAAATCTCTTTTGTGTCAAGCTTAAAGTTTTGTCGATCTCCTCCAACTCCTCCTTTGGACTTCCAGAAACTGCCTGGCTTAGCGGAACACGTGCACGGAAGCAGTTTGAGGCTAGTGGGTCGCTCGGGAAGGTGTTGACCGGGTCCAGCCAATCAGAACCGCCCGGATCAATCAATCAATCACTTAGGGCCACCAGGCAGGAATTTGCCTCCTAGAAGCTGCAATTTGCCTCCTACGCCTACAGGAGGCGCTCGGAGGATGTTGTTAGAGTCAGCCTGAAAGTCCCGCCCCCGTTGTATTGGGACGCATTAAGTCCCTTCAGCCACCTCCCCCGAGTCTTTGCACTGGTTGTAGAACTGGAAGATAATCCAAGCATCCCAGTACAGCTCCTGGCGACATTTCTTGCTGGTAATCTGCTCAGTTATCTTTTCTCTATCCTGGACACTTGAATGGGGAAAGAGGCGACTCATGCGGGGAAATTTCTGAGTTGTGCGGAGAGATTCACGCACCAGATGCATACTCTCTCTCCTATATTGCTGCTTCTCTTAATGTCCATTTCTGCTGCTTAAGCCTTATGTTTTAAGGCCTTTCAAGCCATTCAGAACAGGCAGGCTAGGTAGGGCACCCATTTGAGCTGGGACTGTTTGGCTTGTAGCTGAGTTGGGAAGATCCTTCACAGTCCTCCCCCCTTTTATTTTGGGGTGAAAGTTGGCACTTTCGACAGGCTGTATACTACCGAGTGACCGAGTGCAGAAGGCAAAGTTGCTCATGCCCGCTCTTCATTAAAACTTGATGGCAAGTCTGTGGCCTTGGCCTTGGTGCCAGTGTGCAAGTGTCTTGGTGTAGCAGCTACCATGGAAGAGACTCCAGTTGGTGGTTGGGAACATGGACACACCCAGCAGAGCAGCACTGCTTCTCGAAGGACAATGGTGTGGGCTGGGACATGCCCAATTTGGCAGCCACAGGGACATGGCAGGAGAGTGTAGCCAGGATCGCAGCACAGGCACTTTTGGGAACCAGGACTTTCTCTCTCAAATAAGTGTCCCCCGCTCAAACAACCTCTCATCTATGCAAATTCAGATTCATGGACATTGGAGTGATTGGGTACTGTGAAGTGTTGGAATTCTTGAAATTTCTCAGATAGAAGAAACAGGGACAAGGGGTCATTCCAGCCACAGGCTTGATCTGTTTAGGGGTGGTGTGACTTGAAAAAGGCTATGCTATTGTTCTCTCATTATTATAACCACGACATGCTACGGATGACACAGAAACCCGGGTTCTTCAGTGCTTTAACTCGCCCTGATTTCCAAATGGCCAGGGTTGGACTGGTGCACAAGGACTGCAGCTAGAGCCTTTGACACTAACCCATTTGGCATAGTTAGTCCCTCCTTGGAGTTGAACATCTTCCATTTCCCAGCCTTCTCCTCCCACCACCTGGTTCTCTAGGGAGGTCTTTGGCCTGAGCTGGTTTCCTTGCTCTCATTCTTCCAGCTGAGGCCTGTAGAGTTACCACTGCCCAGCTCCGGCAAGGGACCGAGTTATGGGGATACCGCAAAGGAGGGGTTCTGACCCCTGTTCTACAGTCTGATTGCTGGCTGAAAACAGCAAGTATTAATGGGCCAAGCAGCTGTTGCCTCATCTGATACCTGAGAGAGTCTGATAGAGGTGATTTGTTAACTCCAAAGCAGCAGACCTTATGTTTTGTCCCTGGTCATTTGACGGATTCTTTGGAAGCAGCCCTAGGAAAAGGAAGCCTCCTGCTGAGAATATGGACCGTGCTATTTGGAAAAGAAGCAAGCCAGCCATCTGAGGGCTTTCGTTTCTCAGCAATGGATGCTAGAGCCCTAGGGAGTGATGTGGTCTAAGCACAATGGGAGTGAGATGCACAATCACTCGAGTCAGAAGCAGTGATGTCCAAGGGATGGCTTTTTGAAGCTCTCCTCACCTTAGGACTTACCAGGGTCAAGCCATAGACTGGGGAGGCTGCTGTGTGGGCAGGCCCATCGCCAAGGTACAAGCATACTTCACTTTATTGCACTTTGCTTTATTGTGCTTTGCAGATATTGCTTTAGTTATTTCTTTCTTTTTTTTTAATAACAAGTTGAAGGTTTGTAGTGACTCTGTATCAAAGAAATCTCTTGGCACCATTTCCCTACAACAGAATGTATTCATTTGTGTCTCTGTCACAATTTGGGAATTCTTACAAGATTTCATACTTTTTTTCATAATGCTATTGCACACTTACTAGACTACAGTATAGTGTAAACATAACTTTTATATGCACTGTGAAAGCAAAAAAAAAAAGTAGTTTGCTTTATTGCAAGATTTCCTTTATTGTGGTGGTCTGGAACTGCACCCGAAATATGTCTGCGGCATGCCTGTATGCGTGTATGTTTCTAGACAAACGTCCATTCTCCACCTTTTTGCCAGCGCAGATGTCAGAGCTTGCTGCATTCTCAGAGGCTTAGAAACTTCTCATTCTTAAACTCCCTGGGGGCAGACACAGCATTCTATGAGAAAAAGAGCTCACAGCTTCTCTCTGACTGAGGCCGTTCCGCCTGGAGGAGTTGACTACCTCCTTCAAGACAAGAAGAAAGACGTTTGCAGTGATCTATTAAATCATACGGATAAGCTAGTCTGCTTAAACTCCATTTATTACCATCTTGGTATATGCAATGATTTTTCAAGCTTCAATTTGACCACCAGCCACTCTGAAGGAGAAGAAGGCTGTCTGTTCCCATCAAGATTTACAGCCTCAAAAACCACATGAATTGGAATTGACTCAATGGTAGTGGGTTTGATTTTGGGGGTGGGCTATTACCTTTGAACTCCATTTGTATACATGTGTGTATGTATATGTATATCTTGCTAGCTATTTGTACCCATATACGTGTGCATATATGGGCATATTTAAAAACGAATTAGTGTGTATATAGCTGCTAGTATAGATACATATAAATATTCATGTATATTTGCAGTATGCTTGTATATCCAGCACCTATCTTTACACATCCATATATGCACCCTCCCCATTATTTGGTTTGGCCTACCTACGGACAGAACAGCTTCAAAAAGTCACATCTTGGACATCACTGCTTCTGACTCAAGTGATCATGCATCTCATACCCATTATGCAACATCTGCGTATACAAACGAATTCATTTGTCAATACATCCATACCCTGACATATACATACATGCACACACACTATACACACACACACACATGCATACATACACACATATAAGGAGCCCCTGGTGGCATAGTGGATTATACATAGGCTGTTAATCGGAAAGTCAGCAGTTCAAACTCATCAGCTGTTCCAAGGGGATCAAGATGAGACTTTCTGCTCCTGTAAAGATTACAAGCTCAGAAACCCACGGGGGCAGTTCTACTCTGTCCTATAAGGACTGCGATGAGTCAAAATCAATTCCATGGCAGTGAGTTTGTTTGTTTTGGTGTGTGTGTGTATGCTAATATCTGTATATATACACACTAATTCATTCGGATAAAATATTCAGAAATGGGCTTTATTTTCGAAAACATCTTTTGTCTGTGAAGTGACATTTAGAGTGACCGATTTCTTGGTTTTCTCAAATAATGGGAGAGGGGACCAGAGATTCGCATGGCTCAGTCTTACTCTCTGAAGGAGGCATCAGTGAGGAAGGGCCTGGCTGGCTCCGGTGGCATTAGCTGAGCCAGGTGCAGGAGGTGGCCGGAAGAAAAGGCCATAGGAGGTGTGTGCCTGCAGTGCGTGCGTGCTCCCTGCTGAATGGGATCCAGGGTGCCGTGTGTGCAAACAGTATGTGCTGCACTTGGGTAGGAGTCTTGGTCCTCTGGGCAGGTGAAAGAGGGGTGTGGGGTGTTGAAATCCTAACACCGAGAAGACAAGACCTAGGGAGGGAAAACAAATCAGCAAGTATTTGATAATTCAAGGCACTTACAGATTCAAAATCACTTCACCAAGAAAGGGCGTGCATCTCATTTTGTGGAACGATTGGCCTGTAGACAGCAGGGTGAGGTCAGCTCAGAATGAGAAGCAGGATCTGTGGAGGATTCGAGCCGTGCTGTCCTGGGTGGACATTTATTTCTCTGGGGAGAAAGGCTTTTGTGGCTTTTTGTACTGGTCAGCGGGAGCCAGCTATTTCTGGGCAGACCTCATTTCTCTGGGGTTTCTCTCTCTTCAGGTCAAACACCACTGCCCTTTCATTCCACTCAGGGAAAACACCACTGCTTGGCTTTCAGTCCCTGATGCATAGTTCTTTATGGATGCTTATTGAGCACCTATTATTTTCAGGTGTATCCTGGGGGGAAGGGGCCTCTCGGTGGCACAAAATAGGAGAAGGAGCAAACTGTGATTGTTTTCTGGCTTCTACAGGGATTACTCTTCTCTCTTTCTTACTTCACCAAATAAGTCAGCCAGGACTAACACAGGCGGGGGCAGAGCAAGGGTGGAGGGAGGAATGTGCGCTGGCATCTGTTTTGGGTTTTTGAGAGTCAGGGAAGGCAAGTGAGGTTTTCTCCTCTAGTACTGGCTCTTTTTTTTTCCTTTTGAACTTGTTCACATCACTCTTTTGACCCTCAGCCTCAATTGTCTCAGTTTCATTAAGCCATGCAAAGACACCAGGCTGGGAGTTGGGCAGGGATGAATTTGAATCCTGCTTTTTTCCTTTCTGGCAACGGGCAGTGGATGAGTTAGCTGTTTGAACTTCACTTTCTTCATTCTCATAGGAGAAAGACGGGGATTTCTATACCTGTATAGAGTCACAGTCTCGGAAATGCATAGGGGCAGTCCTACTCGGTCCTATAGTCACTATGAGTCAGTATTGACTCGATGGCAGTGAGTTTTTTCCCCTTTCACTCTGTAAATAGAGATTATGATGACAACAACGATGATGATACTTCACTTCCAGACCTGTTGTTGGTAC